CCCGCCACCGCCAGGTTTCTCCGCCGTCACCCCACCATCGTCAGCCTATTCCGCCGTCACCCCGTCACCGCCCTCCTCACCCTCACACCGTCACCGCCAGCCTCCTCCGTCGTCATCCCGCCAGCGCCAGTCTCCCTCGCCCTCACATCACCGACCCAACCTCCTCACCCTCACACCGTCACCGCCATCCCCCGCCCCACCGCCAACCCCTCGCCGGCTCGAGTGGAGAGCTCGGGACCGCAGCAGCTGTTTTTCACCGGTCGTACGAGAGGTTCTGTGTCGCCGCTCGCCGCCGACGGCATGAAATACGCGCGGCGGAGCTCGACGGCCGCTCTGCCCCCTGGCGCCATCCCTCTCCCGCAAATTGATATTTGAGCGGCTCGCAGCTCGGCACGCCGCCGTAATTGGCGCTGGGATGAATGCGGGTGTGGGGTCGGACCCGCCCCCCACCGCCGCTGCGTTTATTTAAGTTGGTCACGCTTGGTCCCGGCACGGCTCAGCGGTTTGGCCACGGCTGAATGCGACGTTTATCACACTTTTTGCACCGTGGCGATTACCGACAAGTTAGTGGTATGCGTTTCTGGTTTTCACGATGGGATAATTTCCCTCGGCACGGTCGGATGCGCAGCAGGTTCGTTGGCAGACTGGGGATGCGTTCGACTGGGTGCAGCGGAAGAAAGGCCGCGTGCTCGTACGTTGTAAAGAGAGCTCGCTACACCGACATCGCATTACGATTACCGGCACGACCATTTCCAAATTGGCCGCTGTGTTTGGTAGTCTGTGGCTTTCCTCTTTTAAATCACGCGAGTCAATAACAATGCAGCATTGCAGCGGCGCTGAGTCACCCGGTCAGGGTCCCTCTCCGCCGGCCGCGGCGCGGGCGCGTCACGTTCGCTGCCGCCGCCGCCGCCGCCGCCGCCGCTCGGGGCTGTGTTTGCGACCGGGGTGAATCAGCCGGCACCAGAGGCCCAGTTTCTCCCGCGCTGGTCACGAGTGGCTGACGAGTCCGGCCAGCGCCGGCGGGACACGCTCAGCAGGCGGCGCTGTCTGCTGTCCCGGCCCGAGCGGGGGGAGCTGCCGGCAGCTCGGCAGGCTGGAGACAGCGTGTCTGCCAGCAGCTCGGCAGGCTGGAGACAGCATGTCTGCCGGCAGCTCGGCAGGCTGTAGACAACGTGTCTGCCGGCACTACGGCATGCTACAGGCAGCACGTCTGCCGGCACTGCGGCAGACAGTATGCCTGTGGGCGGTGCGGCAGGCTACAGACGGTGTGTCTTCCGGCAGCGCGGCAGGGTGCAGAGAGCGTGTCTGCCGGCGGCGTGAGAGGTTTCAGACAGTGTGTCTGCCGGCACCGCGGCAAACTACAGACAGGGTGTCTGCCGGTACTGCAGCAGGCCGCAGACAGCGCGTCCGACCGTGACTCTGCCGCATCGCTGCCGATGACGCGGCACGGAGCGGGTCCGTGCAGGCGCTTCAGGCCGTATCGTGGCGTCGCTCCGAATGTCCCGCCTCGTTTTTTACGCATGCAACGAGCTGTAATTTATTCAGATTCCCCTATCGCGCGAGGCTCGTGTCATCTCGCCAGCTGCAGAACTACTACAAATTTAAACCAAGATCGGGCGGGTGCCTCTTAGCAAATGGAAATGAGGCTTATTAGGCAGTCGAAGACCCCGATCGTGTCTTTCTCCGACGGCTCCCATTATATACCCCACTAGCAGCGTCCTTGGTGCAGGCGGCCTGTGCTTCTTGCGGAATGGCTGCTGGCCGTCTCTTCTGCGTTAATGCTACGTGGTGTCGTTACGTGATGCAGCAGCGGGAGTCCGTGCTCTTCTCCAGAGGTTCGGTGGGGCTGCGCGCTGTTTGTGTGTTTGTGTGCGTGTTTGTGTGTGTTTGTTGCGGCTGATGGACGAGGCCACGCACCTGTTTGTTCAACCCTTGCCGCGTGTGTGAGCGCCGCTATTGATTTCTTGCCAGCCTTGATTCAGTTCCGCCGGTGCCTCTGCCCGGGCTTGGAAAAGTAGTCTGGGCTGAAGGAAATGTGTGGCGCGGACGGTCTGGCCCCGACCGGTGCGGGCATAAGGACGCTCGCTGCACCAACTTAGGCCACAATAGGGTGCTTCCCTGGCTCCTGGGGACATTCATGTCGGGGGAACTTTAGGAGCCAGGGTCCGTCGCTGCTAGGAACTAGCGAGTAAGTCGACAGCATCATGCCTGTGATTAGGGCGACAGGGGTGTTTTGGCCAGACTGGAGTCTCGTGAGCCGGCGGAGCTCGCTGCGCGCCGCGTGCCGCCTGGCGCTGCGGTCTGACGCGGCCCGCTGGTGCTGACCAGACCCGCCGCCAGCTCAGCATCACCCCTGACCCGCCGGCGCCTGCCGTCCCGCCGGGCTGACGTAGAGGCCGGCTCTGGCCGGTCTCGAGGGACGATGTACCGGTGAGGCGTCCGCGTGTTGACCGGTCAGCGGAGACGGTGCTTGTGACTGGCAGCCGTGGTTAACCCCCGGGCGCGCCTTCATGCCACTGCCCGGGGTGTCTCGTGCGGGAGTGAGAACCGCCCCTGGCGTCGGGCGCTGTGGCCGCCCGAGGAGCCTCGCCGGCCGAGGCTGCTGGCCGGCCGGAGGGTACGCGCACGTTCCGACTGTGCGCCGCGGCCACCGCGCGGTTTGGCGGCGAAATCGGCGCGTTCCTCGGCGTTGGGGAAAGTTGAGGCGGTGGCACGCTGTGGCGGCCGTTCAGTGACCCCGCTCCCTTAGGCGGCGGGCGCCGCGCGCCGCATACGTGTCGGCGGCGCCGTGAAAGCCGCGCCAGACTCGCATACAGAGAGGTATGGAATACGGCGAGTGTGGCGCGCGGCGGCCGAATGCGGCGAGCATGGCGCGCGGCGCCCGGCGCGCCGGTCACCGCCGCCGTCGGACGATGGACGCTAGAAATGCGTCCCAGGCATGGGGTTACTGGCGGCGGCGGCGGCGCCGATCTGCGTCCGGTGAGCACTCTGTTAGATTATCTGGAACCGATTCTGATCGTCGATAAGGCAATAAACGTAAATATGAAATATAAAAATATGCCGAAAAACGTGAAATGGTTTGCCCATGATGAGGGCGAACGTTTATCGGGTGATTCGAGTGCTTAAGCCATTCTCCACCCCATTTAAAAAGCGATTTTTGCAGGGTCTGATGAAATTCCACGCGACAGCCGACGGCGGTCCGTGCAGCAAATGCGTGATGCTTTCTTTGTTATGAGCGTTTGCGATGCGATGCAGACGCCTTTGAGTGTTTGTGGCTTACGAAAGGATGTTGCCAGTTTCTGCCTCGCTGCGCCTGTTTACCATCGGATTATCCGTCGACGGCATTGTGCTCGAGTTCCGGCCGTCGGTCCCGCGGACGGCATAAACGCCGTTTCCGCCGCGCTGCGCCGCGGCTCGAGCGCGGTGCGCCGTTTTTGCCGTGGCGCCGGCGCCCTGTAATCGGTCGGCAAGCCAGGTGTCGGGAGTCGCGCCGCCGCCCGAGCGAGTGAACGGCGGGGCGGCGGCGCCGGCAGCCGGCTCGGCTGGCGCGGCCGGCGGCGGTGTGCCCCGGCCGGCCGGTCGAACCGGAGGCGCCATCGGGTCGGGCCGGCCGGCGCGGCTGACGGGCACGTGCCGGCCGGCCGGCCAGGCGCCGCTAACGCAAACTGACCGGCGCCGGCGCCGACTCGGCACAGCACGGCCGCTGCCGCCACCTGCCACAGTCCGGGACGCGCTGGAGGAGAGAGCCGACCCTGGCCGCAGGCACATGACGCTTTATACCGCGCCGCTATAGGGGCATTTCGGCTGACGGGCTTTTAGTCAGCTCGTGAAAAGGAGGAATTTTCCGCGGCGGACTTTTTAGGAGCGTCCGCCATTTAGCTCATCGCGTGGCGATTTACATTTAATGCCGAGCTCGCTGGGTGCGGCACGCCCGCCATCTGGCCCGCACCCCACGCGGCCAAACCCTTCCGCCAGGAATGTTGGCGTAAGGTGCGGTTGAATGGAGCCGCCCCGGTGTGAAATTCGACCGTCCATGAAAACGCCGCGGAGCGATCTGTCGCGGGATTGGGGGCGCGGCGGGGGTCGGCTGGAGCCGCTCTGGAGACCACTGGGGGTCGGCTGAAGCCGCTCTGGGGGCTGTCAGGGTGGCTCTGAGCTAGCGGCCGCGTCAGACAGGTGCGCCGCGGCCCGGCACACGCGGGTCTGCTCCGTGTCTCACTCGGCGCCACCCTTTCAGCTGTCGCCCGGTTTATTTACCGTTCGCGAGGTGCGGATGACACGGGCAGGAGCCGGGAAGCCTGGGGTGAGAACGCTGTGGGGGTTAGAGACACTGGGGGCTCAGGCCTGCGGATCTGTGTACCTGTGCAGCAGCATGGGGTCACCGGCTGCCATGACCCCGTCGGCACCGGAGCAGATCGGTCCGTCCATTACTGCGTTGGCTTCGGCGGACCCGCCTTCACGCGCCGCTGTGTCCGTCACAAGTTTCCATGAAAAACTTTGCCGGCTGACACGGCCGACATCCACACAAAGGCACCGGCTTTCTGGCGGTGCCGACGCAGCGTTGCAGCATCGGCAGACATTTCTGATAGTTGGCTGACGCCTGTCAAGTTGGCAGCCATCAAACTTCCGGAAGTCGGCCATATTTCTGTCGCCGACAGCGAGCTGTTAGCGGTATTAGCGCTTTGTTACAGCTCCCAGCGCGGTATCTAGGCGGAAATCACGTACGCTTCTTCGCACCCGCCGTCGGCGCCTCATGAATAAATTGACTAACTCATGATTAGTTGGCGCAAAATAGTTCACAATGTGTGGAGGCACCACAGGCGTCACCATCGTCCCTAAATATTCTAGCATCAACCGACGGCTCCTAGCTGGCTGACTGTTTGGTGCGATGAATTTGCAAGTATCATGCTATTGCAATGCGGATGCCAAACCTTTGCGCGACCTGAGAGCATGCCCACAATGCAGTACGCGACGCCCTCTGACGAGGCATGTTTTTTCAGACGTGCTACGAGATGGAGAAGTATCTGAAGGACGAGCCGAAGCTGAAGTCGTTCAAGAAGCTGCCCAGCGAGCTGGACTCGCCGCGCATCAAGCAGGAGGAGGCGGACGACAGCGACTACCTGTTCTCATCGCGCGACTCGCTCGACTCGCTGAGCGTATCGTCCGTGTCGTCGGCCAACTGGGAGACGGCCAGCATGAAGACGGAGGAGGTGGAGTCCGAGTCGGAGAGTGACTCGGAGGAGGCGTACGGCGACTCGGGCGCCAGCGGCCGGCTGCTGGCCTCGCTGACGCCGCCCTCCAGTCCCGAGTGGGCGACGGCCGGGCCGCGGCTGGCCGGCCGCGGCACGCTGCAGGTTCGCTTCACGTCGCGCTCTGGCGGCCTCATCTCGTGCCTGCCGGGCTTCTCGCTCAAGGCCGGCCACGGCCGCCAGCTGCGCGTCGACACGTCGCCCGACGGCAAGCGGCGGATACACAAGTGCCTCTTCTCCGGCTGCAAGAAGGTGTACACCAAGTCGTCCCACCTCAAGGCCCACCAGCGCACCCACACAGGTCAGCCGCCGCCGCCGCCGCGCTGTACATCACGCTGTCGGCGCGGATTAGCACCTTAAGGGCCACACATAACGCCATCACTTTTCGTGACGGGGAGGAGATTATGGGGATTTCATGCCAGACCTGCAAAAAGCTCGGGGGAGTTGTGATTTATTCATCCCGGTTTTTGTGTGGCCAGGCGAGACAGCCACGGACTGATGATACAAATGACGTGCACGCCATGGATTGATGACTTCTGGTGTGGGCGCTCGACAAATCTGCAAAAGTATTTGACGACGTTACTCAGGCGTGTGGTGGCGATTGAACCGTCCGGCCCCGTCCAGAATTCCTGGTCACCTGCTCGACAGTCCTGCCGTTTCTCGCGCAATGCTGCATGGATCGGTCCCTCGGAGTCGCTTCACACAGTGCTGCGTCAGCCGTTCTCTCGGACAGCGCGCCGCGTGTGCTGCATAGATCGCGCTGCTGTGCCCTCGGACATGGAGTCACTTCACGCAGCGCTGCATCAGCTGTTATCTCGCGCAATGTGCCGCGTATAAAACTGTCACAGCGCTGGCGCGCGGCGATGGAGCGTCGCCGGCGAGTGCGCCGGCTCCCGTGAGAGTCGTGTCCGGCTGCGGGGCCTCCCCTCCGGCGTCGACCCTCGGCCTGCCGTACCCCGGTAAACACGGACGCCGCCCGGCGCAGAAATAGCCGGCGGCGCTGCAGGGTCGCTGGCCGCCGCCGCTGCCGCCGGCGCACGCGCCCCCAAATAACGCGTCATCCGACCGCTTATGTCGTTCGGTGGAATGTGTTTGTGAACGGTGCAGGGTCTGCCGACGGCGTGGTCACCCCGTCGGGGAACCGCATCTCTTCACAGTCCACCCTGCCGTCTTCGTTCAGGACATCCGCGCACGTTTCCAGCTTCCATGAGTTCGCCGAGAATGATAGAAGTGCTCGAGATTTTTGGACTTCGTGAAGAATTCTTCAGAACTCGCGAATATCGTAGATTCCAGAAGCCTAGCTGCCAATGCCTGTACGCGGGAAGGCTTGTTTCACGGCCGCTAGCCTGTCCTGCGTTTGGCTACCACGCTTTACCGCCACAGGCCGCCTTTGTTGCTGCTTGCCGCCTCTAGACAGCGGCCAGCGGCGCCTGGCCAGCGTAGCCACGCTCTTGCTCCACCGGTGCGCCCTTCGGTCTGAAGGGTAATGGGTTCCCCGTCCTCTCGGAGGGTGATGCGATCCCCGTTCTCTCGGAGGGCGATGGAATCCCCGTCCTCTCGGAGGGCAATGCAACCCCCATCCTCTCGGAGGACGATACGATCCCCGTCCTCTCGGAGGGCGATGGGATCCCCGTCCTCTCGGAGGGCGATGGGATGGATCCCTGTCCTCTCGGAGGGCGATACAACCCTCGTCCTCTCGGAGGGCGATGGAATCCCCTGCCCTGTCGGAGGGGAATGGGATCCCCGTCCTCTCAGAGGGCAGTGCAACCCCCTTCCTCTCGGAGGGCAATGCGATCCCGTCCTCTCGCAGGGCGATGCAATCCCCGTCCTCTCGGAGGACGATGCGATCCCCTTCCTCTCGGAGAACGATGCGATTACCACGCAGGTCCATCGCTGCGTTTGTATTGGCATCCATCAAGCGTGCTTGATGTCCCCACCACCGGTATCTCTCGCCCTCTCGCTCCTCTGGTCTCTTGCTGCGCTGCTTTCCCGCTGGCTGCATTTATCTGTGTCTCTGACTGTTCCTACCTCTATCTCTGTCCTCCCTCCACTCTCTGTCCCTCTCTCTTTTGCCCGCTCGCTGAGTTTTGCTCCCCCCTCTCACTTAGCGCTCTTGTCTCGATTATGCTCCCTTTTCCGTACGCAAGTTTGTGAAATGAAATTTGCATGGGCTCCAAATCGTTCCGTCAAAGATACGTATCGTTACGTATGTGCCCTCGCTACCTCCAGAAAAATCACACTGCTAAAAATACCGCATACCTCTGAGCTTGTAGTACAGACGATAAGGACGTGTTGCGCCAAGTTTGACCGCCGGTGATATCAGTGCAGCGCCGACCTGTTTTCAGCATTTTGCTAACAATAAGCGAACCAAACGAACCGGTTTTTTCCTGTTTTGACGCGCACAACCTCCAAGGCACGTCTGTGTGGCGTCGGCAGCACAAAGTTATAAAAGCAAAAGACGCTGGCCATATATCGTGGCGGTTTCTGTTATCTCCAGAGCGAAGAGCTCTGACATACTGTTGTTCCCGATTGGCCGAGTATTCCTCATTGTCATGTCGTGTAGCTCCATGTCAGCTCCTTGGGCTGAGGGGTGTTATTGTTGTCGAGCCCGATCGCGTGTGGCGGGGCGATCCAGAATCGTGAGCGGTGTGGCAGAATGATGGGATTGGTGCTTCTCGAACATGCCAAATTCTCAGGTTCACTTTGCTTGTGGCTGTTTTTGCACGATGACTCACGGTTAGTTTTGGAGAGGTTTGTTTGTCGCATGATGCCTCCGAAGACGGGGCCACCGCGTGCGCTAGTAGCGGTTGTTACTTGTGTGATATTGAGGGACAGTAGCATGCATTGCAAGGTAATGTCAAAGCTAGTTTGTTGCATCGTTCACTTACTTCCTTGCTTTGATCGGGGCGTGGGCTGCTGTCCTGTGGTGAACAGCTTGGTCTTAGCGCAAATGGTTGAGATGCATTTGGTCTAAGCTTTGCATTTGGTCGCCATCCCCGTCATTTTATCGCACTCCCATTCCTACACTTGTTGCCAAAATGCACCGCTTAAAAACGAAAGCTTTGCCGGGCGTCCGCCGATTTCACACTCCGTCATCCCGTCGATTTCGCCTTATTGCTTTCTCAAGTGGACCGCCTGGCTGGAAATGAACAGGATGACAAATGGGAGCCATATTTGCATGCAGTATTGCAAGCCTCACGATCCCACCCGTGCTGTACGTGGCGCTCGTGTGCGAAGGCGTGATGTTCGGTGGCGCTAAGTTGATGCCTGGCTTGTCTTGGCTTGGCTTGGCTTGGCTTGTCTCCGGGTACCTTCCCTCCCGCCGAAATCAGTCATGTTCACCCTGGACGGGCTCATACCTTCGCGGCATGCTGTGTCGAGAGCCTTCAGCGATTCTGCCGGCATGTCCGCCAGAACATCTGCCTTTAACGCACTTGTAAGTCACCTAGTCACTGATTATACAACGGTGGGCAATCCGCGCGAAATTTCAGCAGCGTGCGCCTCGGTCTCGTCGCCCGGCTACGATGTCCAACTTGCATAATTACTATCCACGATTAAGTACAATAATTCGGGCATAGACCACCCGATCGATGGAAGTGCTGCGATTAGTTTACGACGCATTTAACTGCCGCCGGCGCTCCGCCTAATATACGGTGCCGATTGGAAGAGGGGAGGCGGGAGCTGTTCGGGCGCCTCCCGCGCCCTCCCGGGAGCTGCTCGGGCGGCGGCGCCTCCCGCGCCCTTCCGCGAGCTGCTCGGGCGGCGGCGCCTACCTCGCCCTCCCGAGAGCTGCTCGAGCGGCGGCGCCTCCGCACCCTCCCGAGATCCGCTCGGGCAGCGACGCCTCCCGCAGCCCCCCGAGACCTGCTCGAGCGGCGGCGCCTCTGCACCCTCCCGGGAGCTGCCCGGGCGGCGGCGTCTCCGCACCCTCCCGGGAGCTGCTCGGGCGGCGGCGCCTCCCGCACCCTCCCGGGAGTTCGCCGCTGCTCCGGCTGTCCCGTCGCTCCGCTACCGCTGCCGTACTGCGGTGTCGACCACCACCAGACCAGCCATGCTACGAACTGGCGACGACTGCGAGTGCCCTGATGCGCGCTGTCCCTGGTCCCAGTCAGCTGGTCCCAGTCAGCTGTCCCTGGTCCCAGTCAGCGCTGATGGCGAAGGGGGGGGGGGGGGGGGGTGGTCCCATGGCCGCCATGGCAGGCGATAGCGGCCATCTCCCGACCGTCCCGTCCGCATAATGTGGCGGCGCGCGCGGCTCTGTTATTGTCGGTGCGACGGCCCATTCTGGCCGTATTATTCCCTGCCAGATGCATACTGATGGCATTACGCGCAGTTTTCCCGTGCTCCCCGCTTAACGAAAACAATATGCCCGGCCGCCGTCGCTGACGCGGGATCCGACGAGCGGCGCGTCCCCCCCCCCCCCCGCCGAGCCGGGTGGAGGCTGAGGCATGGCCCCGGCGGCAGCAGGCGCCCGCGGGAGCGGCAGCCGAGCGGATCGGCAGTCACTCATCGCTGACTTCTCGAGAAGTCACCTGAGCTCGTGTAAACGGATTATGACGCGGCGAGGACACCTCTCGGAAGCGCGGGTCGGGTCCGTGTTCGGGCGCCGTTGCCAAGGCGACCGCTCTGATGTGCCGTGGGACGTGAGCGTCGGCCTGACTCGCGACGAATTCGCGCATGATCGAATCCTGCTTGTTTGCGATGCATGTGAGCGCTGTTGTTTTGACGGAAACTTATGCAATTGGGTGTGCTGTTGTTGAAAGGGCTCGCCTACGTGTAGCTGTTTTGATTTCGTGACGCCGTTTTTGCTTTGTTAAGCGATTCTGAAACGGATGATGTTGAAAGTTTGATGTAGATATCAGCCGAACTTTCCTTAAATCGTCCGGATAACGTTAAGTGCGTGCAGCCATTTCTTTTTAGTTTCACAACCGGTTTGTTTCAGGTCGAAGTACCACTGGTTCAACTGCATAACTTATCATGCAGAATTCTGCTCACACCCTCGGTATTGCAATTACTACCGACTTAAAGCGAATGTTTCGCATTTTGAGATACTAAAACAAGCATCACATGTGATGAAATACGCTCACTTATGACTATTGGTATGATTCTTATGTGGAAAAGACTGCTCTAGACAGCACCATTCTCTGTTTAGTGAACATGCTTTTCAAGGCGTCATGGTTTGATTACGTCATCGTACCTTGCACAACATTGATTGAGAGCCAATTGACGGCCATTATGTCTGTAAATCGCGGTCACGAACGCCAGATATGAATGCCTCGACAAGTATATTTCTGGCCTTGA